TCGAAAAGTTTTGTGATGAAAAAGAAATTCCTTTTAATAATATTTTGTCAGTTGCTACGGATGGCGCACCGGCTATGACAGGGCGTCACAAAGGCTTCATAACGTCCTTAAAAGATAAAGTTACTGACGTTCTTGCTGTCCATTGCGTAATTAATCGCCAGCATTTGGTTGCGAAAAGTCTGAGTGAACGCCTCCATACATCACTGCAATATGTTATCAAAACAGTTAATAAAATTAAAAGTAACACGTTGAATGACTGATTATTTAGTCAGATTTGCATTGCCAATGATGAAGATTTCAACCGATTGCTGCTTTACACAGAGGTGCGCTGGCTGTCAAAAGGTACTTGTTTGACTCGATTTCACAATCTATTTGGGTCTGTGATAGAGTCCCTAGGAAACAAAGACACCGAATTGCGCGACAACTTCATCTTATCAAAGAACAATATTGCGTACTTGATAGACTTGTACAAATTGTTTAATGATGTCAGTCTCCAACTTTAAGGCGACGACTGAAACTTGAATAAGACAAAAAAACAGCGTTGCTGTTTCGTGTCAAAACTGCTATTATACAAAAGAAATATTGGCAGACGCGAATTCAATAACTTAACAAATTTATTAACAGTATCATTCAAGCACGACGATTTGCTTGTTTACCGTCAATACTTGGAAAACTTCCACAGCGATTTCAAGGAACGATTCCAGGACATTCTAAACATGATCATACCAGACTGGGGTTTGGGTCCTTTCTGTCAACATAGCAGGATCATCCTAGTTAGAAGAACTAATATAACTGGCGACAAATGAAGAATTAAAAATTAAATTCAAGAATGGCTACCAAGAATTTGAGCTGCAGAAGCCGATTTTGCAACTGTATCCAGGATTATGGTTGATTGTTCAACGATATCTGATAGCATTCCTATCTTTCTATTTAGCCGAACGTGGATTTGATGCTGTAACAAAGTTGATAACTAAAAGGAGAAATATGCTCCATGTTACTTACGTTTCTTCTTAAGTAAAATAGAGGCTGATATTAACGAACTCCTTAAAATACATCACATTTAACCTTCTCATTAGATAAGTAATAAATTCAATGTCTTTTGAATGTTAATAAAAGTACTTTTTAATATAATTAAGTATGCGTTTTAATTGTTCTCACTGAAACATCTTCTTTAAACTTAGAATAAGAATAGGATCATATCCTGTCTTACGACTATAGTATACACTGTTACACGTTTAAATATAATCGTGGCAAGAGCTGTTTCAGATTCGCAAGTTAAAAAAAATTGCGGGGCTTTAGAAAAAAAAATATTTCCACTGTGGGCGGTGGGCAAAATAAAGTTGAGAACCTATGCTCCAACGTATCCTTCTGCGAATTAATATTACGGCTAAGTCGTTTTCCCATTATCAAGCTGTTTCCATATGAAGAGAAAATCTTCATGGAATGTGTACAAAATATGATTGGTTTCGTAGCGAATCGTGCTATTTCATCTGCAAAATTTTTAATCTAGCATAAAAATTACCTACGAACCTTGAGCATGCAACAGAATATTTGAACTTGATATATTAAAGATGATCATAACAAGAAAAAGAATTGGAGGTTTTAAATGCCCTACAACTTCAGATAAATTTAAATAACATTTTTTAATATAAAACATAATGAGCACAAGTGTTAAATTACATTAATATATTTTTTAAATGTTAGATTGCAAATATAAAACGTAAGAAGAGAACGACTTAAAAATGGCTGTATTAAAAAAAAGTATCATTTTATTTTGGGACCAATAGAGTATTTTCTTTTCCCTAAATAATGCATAAATAAAAAGGATTCGATTATTTTATGACTTACTGTGACATAAGTGATATTGTAGCATCTCCTTTGTCTTATTCATTTAAACTGGTAAAAGTTAGATAAATTTTTATACTTCATACCTAGAGAGAAAAATCTAAATATATAATGAAATCTATTATATCAAGGACTTAAAAAATATTACGAATAACTGTTTCACTTAGCGCTTTCATCGACCTGATTTTTTTTTATTGCTCTAACATGCCGTTCGGGATGCCGCAGTATGACGCGCCCTGTTTTTCACTCTTTCAAGAAGCAACTGTTTGAATTTCAAGAAGCACGCCGGTACAAAAGCACTCAACCGGGGCGAACTGTTCTTTCCACCTTTTTAGCTGAAACCAGGTAGTCCTTTAATAGGTGAGTGTTACTGTGTAAAGAGCCTGGTTTGAGCAGCTTCATCTCAAGATGGGTGAGCTACATTTAATTAGATTGCATGGAAGTTATTCTTTGCAGTTTGGAACCCCATAAATTATCTGTTTATTTCCCTAGAATAGAATAGAATAGTTGTGTTGGGTGGCGGTATAGTGTTCTGCTGGGAATTTTAAATTCCTAATATTAGGGTCCATACTGATCATCTCAGATTGTTTAATTTTTCTAGAAAATATATTTATTTTATAGTATGCAGTTAACTTTTAACTGTAAACAACTGCTAGTGAATAACTACATGTGAAGATTTATAAAGACATTTGAAAACCTTGTATATTGATATTCTGTAACTTAACTTGTATATTGAGCTACTTTATTTTCTTAATTTATTTAGGTTGCCTTCAAAATATTTAAAACAAACTTATTTTGAACTTAAGTGCACTAACGTGCTGATATAATTTATAAAATTTTCTTATTTATGCCTCAAAAGTTATTTTAATGCTAATTTATTATTTAATTTTAAAAATCCTGAATTTGTTGGTTGAAGGTCTAATTGTATGTCGAGTACTTCTTCTATTCTAGTATCAAGTGGCTTCTATTTTAAGCTATATTAAAAAGTTTTAGAAGTTTTCTAAGTAACCAGATTATCATTAACAATCTAAATAGTTTTATAGAAAAGTCATACACGTAGTGATGTCTCTCTGAAATAAATCCAACCTCCTGTAAGTACATTGTACAGATATCTTAAATATCTCTAAAAAATGTGAGTTCTTACAGCAGTAAACGGTATTCTCAAAAGTGTTTCAATAACATCGGATATCAAAATTGTGTGAAATGTGAGTTAATTATATAGATATCCTTTTATTTTTATAACTGAAATATTTACTTTGTTGATTTAGAAATGTTTAAATATTTCTGATAAGGTAAAGCTAACTTGCATGCTTTTGTGTTACGTGCCAATATTAGTCAAGCTTGTAAAAATATTAAGACTAGGCTAATTATACTTGTAGTATCAGATATTCATATATAGGAAATTATGCTATATGGAAATTATTAAAAATACGAATACCTTGAACTTTAACAGTAACTTGTTTATTTGAAAGTATTTAACTTGTATTTTTCATTCTAAATTTTTGCGAAGCTAACTTCCTCGTACAATATGTAGATGCTGAAGGTCAAAGGCGAAAGATCTGACTTTCCTCAAAATATTCCTCGATTCTAAATAACTTTTTCTAAAACCACTCATCGTGCTGAGTTACATAAAGGTTGACTTCTGCATACTTTAATAAATTTGTGTTGACATAAATATACGCACCAGAGGCCGAGCGGTAAAGTTGCTGAACACTGATAATTCTGATCTGAATTCGATTCCAGGCGAACCGGCTCGTTGCATTGGCGTTTTCGTGGTTTTTTCCATGTGCAACGTGCATACGAGCCAATTTCTCCCAGAAAGTCCTCCACGGAGACATTCCTTCCATTAGGCATAGTCCTACTGTGCTTTGCGATAATCCGCAGACCAAAAATCCTAATTATAGCTAAATGAAACGCAGACAAGTGTTTTAACAAGTGTCTTGATAATTGAATTACGGCTACCTTATCCTTATCATTGTATTATTTTTTAAATATGTTTAATTCCAATGCTAATACTTTCACCGCTCTGTTCAAAGACAGAGGAGAGCTGCGTTTGAATATCTCTTTATACTAATAAACTTTAATACTTCTAAAATGTTAACAAAAGCTTGCACTAATAAGAATACACAAGACTGTACAAGTTCTGCTGCTTGTAGCAAACAAAATTAGTTTTCAGTTTCGAATCTTGCTTACATAGTTTCTTACTTTAGTAAGTTGGTTTCCAGCTCTTAAATTGCCTATAGCTCAGCCAGTTTTAAATTTACATTAATATCCTGACTGAACACATTACATCATATTTAACTATTGATATTCCTTCACAAAAGAAAAAAGAATGCATGCACGCAGAATAAAGTTGATTTCGTGTTTATGCTTAGAACTATGAACTCACCCGTAACGGCCTCGGTTCATCATTTCCTGGACTTAGCGGTGACTGTAGGATAATTTGCTTTAGCTGCTCATTTTCGAGCAATTAGGATTTGAACATTAAATATTCTTTGTTTTTCAATGAAAACCTGTTCTTGTTTTGGCTATTTCATTCAAGTTCGCGGAATATTTCCACGCGCAGTTAAATCCTCGTAGTTCTCGATTTTTTACTAAGTTACCATTGCTTTCGCTTGTTCACTAGATTTTCACTTCTTTAAAAATCACAACAGATGCTGTTTCGAAATAAAGAACTAAGAATATAAAGTTGAATACCACGCAAGGTGTTTCGAAAATAATGCAGTTGAACTTTTCATTCTAATAAAATCAGCTCTCGAAATCTGTCGCAAATGCAGATCTGTTAGGCTAACTTTAACCTGAAAGTGCTTTTAAAAGATGGGGGGAAAAGTGTTTCGACAGTCCAAACAAACTGAAGTTTTCAAAACGGGTTAGTCATTTCGCTGTGCTTTGAGACAGCTCACCGGGTTTAACTTTAAGGCTGTAGGAAAAATTCATATATATATATAATTAAATTGAAATTTTATTTCCCATTTAACTAAGAATCTGCATGAAATGTCTTCTGCAGATATTCTAAAAACATTGTGTTTTTAATGCCAGATAATCGAGCTTTAAAGCAGATCTAGAACTGTCCACCTTAATTCGAGAACTGATAATTTGTGACATTTTAAAGTGATGACTAAGGAACTTAAATTTGAAAGTCAATTCTGTTTTAGATACGCCACAACCAACCATGGCGGAACTTTTGTCGGTCAGCAAGTTCGACTCTCCTCCACATAATGCATCTCCTCAATGGGCAGTTAGGACCTTGGTGCCACCAAGTGGTAATTCTAAGGATGATGCAACTGTGCTGTGGACGTCATCACCGAAATCAAATTCGTATGATATGGGAATGGCAGAAAGGGCTGCTGGAATGACTAGTTCTCCTTTAAAAGAAATTGAGCTCAGAAGACCTCCAATCACAGTGCAGTGGAAGAATATTTCATTGACAAGTAGCGGAGGTTTGTAAACCTTTAACCAGTCGCTAAAAATTTCTTTAATAAATTGCAAAATTCCCATTTAGTTATATGCATTACCAGAGTGAATTAATTTTATTTTCAAATTTAACTGATATTTTTAAGTATTTGCTCTAAATAATAAAACCCAATTTCTCAAATGTATTCTCTCTACTCTAATTTACCCACCCACGTGCGGGTTTTACTGCATCGGGCAGCTCCCCGCAAGGCTTCATTTTAGGTAAATAAAGCATTTAATTTTGCTACTTGCGATTTCATCCATTCAGCTACAGGATGGAAATGAAGCAAATAAAAGCTTACCGTATGTGAAATTTATTTCAAATATTTTATACTAACGAACCTTATGAGTGGAATAGCTTTGTGAATCTTCTCAGGAACTGTATTTAAACCAACTTTTGTTAGCTAAGTTTGTATTTACTTGTGTCTTTTCATGAACTTCCGTTCAAGAAATTTACATCGAAGACATTTACATCGTTAACTAAAGAAAAATACTTTATAAGCTGGTGAAGCAAATTAGTCTTTTATCTCGTAAGTATTTTCATAAGTCGATATATTAAGTCTTTATTATAATGAATTCAATGTTCCCTTTACGAGTCTCATTTATAATAACCTACGAAACGTACAACAAAAATCTTAACAGGGCAAAATTCTAACAAGAACTGTCGTAATATTTGTAAATTTTGCATAACTAGTTCCGATGGTTTAACTTCAAAACTACCTGAGCTGCCTAAGTGCAAATGAACGAGATAAATTAATTTCATAAAGAGTGAATGCCGAATATATTTGTTGGGAATAAAAAAGGTTCAAAATGAATGCTTGTGTACTATGTGCGTATTTCCTATATTTAATGTTCAACCTTGAATTTCTTTAATTCACCTTGATGTTAAAATGTTTCTTACTCTGCCAGTGAGGTTATTTAATCGTACAGTTTTACTTGGCTAATTGTGAAGTTAACAATACTTGTTAAAAGTATTTAACTCTAGGATCACTAACAGTCGGAAAGTGTAATACGCAGTGTTTAATATACGTACTCTTACAGTGGCAAAATAGATGAGCTTAATATTTGTAATTTGACCGAGAATAGAATATGGGCTGACTGTATGAATTCTTTCGTACTTTTCCTCTGAATGCTAGCCACAATTTTAGTTCTCTTATGAAGGCACACCTCTCTAAACAGTTAACATTGATGTACTTTGCTATATTTGATTAAAATCCAAACCCCTTTCGTATTTAATGCCCGAGAGTTTTATTTGAAGAGGGCGCAAGTTTTAATTTATAAATACTGAAAAAAAAATTAAAAGAACTTTTCCACTCGACGTACTAAATGAAGTTTCATGCATTAAACCCTTTATTATGCGAATTATTTTTGTAACTAAATTTACCGTATCAAATTCATTCCCCTTTATTTGAGATCATAAAAGCAAAATAGAATGTTACGGTAACATGGGCATAATAAAAATTGCGGTTTCTCTAAACTGCCCCTTTTTGCGGCCATTTTCTAACATTAACGGGCGAAATCGAACCCGAAATGCAAATATTGGTTTTTCATAACTTCACGCATTGCATAGTAAAGATAATGTTGCGCTTCTTGTGTCTCAACAAACTGTAAATACCTGAATATTTAACTAATTGCTTCACTGACGATAATAGATATCTTCAGATATCTTAACAAGTTTTCTACCAGATTTTGAATAAAAAAAATCTGGACTTCTGCTTCCGTGGTATCTTCGGTTTCTGAAAGATGCCAATACTACAAAATATCAGTGTAGATTAATAGCTCTGTGGAAACTTAAAATACGAGAATAGATGTCTACTGGTTTTGACATGATTCTTGAACTTTACGAAATCCTTTAAAATGCATCATTAAACTAAAGCATTACTGAATGAGAATTCGGGGCATTATCCCTTTGACCGTTGGTGGAAATGTTGGCAACTATCGCCAGTCGTTATTGCGAAATTCTGAAAGTGTTCGTTCAGATTTGATGCTAAATCGTGCTACTTGACCGGTCGATGAGTTAATACGGAAGTACAGAATTTGATACTTCTGAAAAATGGCTTCTGCTTTGTTGATGTGGATTTTTCCTTAACATATCTGAAGTGCTCAAACTTACGAAGTATTGAAGAGTTATGGAGGGAGAACGAAACATTAAACAAAAAGGTTTAATTGGCGTAGATTTTGCATAAAGGTAAATTGTTGGTTTAATTTTGAAATCATTCTTTAGGTTATATATTGGTTTAATTGCTAAACATTGCCGATGCATTTGCCGTTAATGCATTCAAGATTTTCAAACTGAGCGTTAATCATTCTAATGTGCTCGTGCTGATAGTGAGTTCCTTTCCAAAACGTGCTTATGGCTCAATACTTATAAATAATACTAAACCATTGTTAAATTAGTCCTGACTTCTTTAAACGGCTGGCTCTACTTGGTTTTAACTCTCCCCTGTTTTAACGTTGCTGAAAATGGTTTACCATTAGAAATTTCCACCAATTTAAATCTCTGAACACTGGCAGTTCAAACTGGGCTTTAGATGTGGCGATCGGACTTGCTAAATATGGCAGCTCCCGTTAATAACCTGGACGCCAGTTTTCTTTAAAGCCACAACCCTTCCCTGAGGCTATTTCCTCTCGTTTAATTTATCTTAAAGTTCCTAATGTTGAAGTCCTTTACAAAAGTGTACCCATTTTGAGACGGATCTTGTCTAGTCAACATAAAATTAAGAATAAAACATATCTGCCAGCCTTTAAAATTGGTATAGTATTTACATATGCAAGATTTCGTATCGCGTAATTATATTGGACTTGTACCAAAGGTACATACGTTTTAATGCAATCACCTTGGCGCGATTTGGATATTTTTGTGGACTAAAATAGGAATTACTTGTTGGGTGCAAGCTGTGGTTTTAAGACCTTTTAGATTCCCAAACTATCAATATTTATCGTAAGTCGTCAAATATTAACATATAAAACCTACTTTAACAATTTAAAATGCGAACTTCAATTCAGGATTGTGATACATTAAAAATAAAACTCAAATCGCGTCTCCAAATCTTTCTCTAATTTTTTCGCTATTTAGTTATCAGTTTTCGTTTACGAAAACTTCAGAATTGTAGAAACTGGCATCGCGTAAACCTCTATACACTGTTTGTCCAAACGATACTCCGTTAAGAAAGTCCAAGCCGTAAAAAGCTTTGACAAGAGCCTTCAGAACAGCCCAATAGTAAACAGCTCGCATCAAAAATCTCCGATAAAATGTTTTTCAAGAGTAAATGATTAGAATTTAATAATACACAAGAGTATTTACAGCTTTTACACGTATTCTGACAAAATAGTCCCGAAGAAATAACCCAAGATTAAATAGCCTTTATTAAAGTGCCCGAAAAAGCAGTCCAAATTCTAAATATTGAACATATTTAAGAAATAAGTGTACAATATATTAATGTAGAGAATTTGCATTTCAAGATTATGGGCAATGTCGCGAAGAAACCCCATATTATTGCCAGTGTTTGCATAATTTTCCCCCAATGGTCGTCGAATACATTTGTACATTCAGCTTTTCTTGCATCTGGGACAGTTTTAGAACACTTTGGCTTGGCCCATTAGGGTCTGTATATACCTTATAAAACTGGACATTAATCTATTTTCAAAAAGCTGTAAATATTATCTATTAAACGTTTATTTACCCTTGAAAGCCATTTTGTCGAACTTGTTTTGGCACGGTTTATTTAGTCTTCTGTTGGGGCTATTATTTTGACAGGCCACGCTAACAAACGTATCTCCTTGCTCCTATACAGATTTAGGAGAAAAATGCTACTCTTGTAGAAATTTTACCGCACTTTCTTCCACTGTTAGCAAATCCGATAAGAGCATATTTGAAAATTACGTTTAAGGCAAATATGATTTCTTGGTAAAAGCCTGCTGGAACTTGGAATACAACAAAAATGTATACGAAGATGAGTGGATTTAGGTACATCTAAAATGGTTTCGTTAACATTAAGTACCTAACTAGTTAAAAAAACCTTTTGGTATTTAAGCTATTGGTCTTAATTACAACATCCTAAAATTTGAGAAAATGATTGAGGAACGTATCTTTATATAATGCAACCCTATTCAATAATGTTCCAATACTTTTAGGTAAACCCATTTTGAAAGGAGTGTCTGGTATAGTATGTACTGGTGAGCTGACTGCCATCATGGGTCCTTCCGGTGCCGGTAAATCGACACTACTGAATGTCTTATCTGGATTTACGTGAGTATATTGGAAGTCATTTGTATACCAGTATTATTTGAAGTTAATATCTTCCAGTGGCCAGTAGCCTTTAACGTGCCCGAAAAAGCAGTTCAAATTCTAAATCTTGAACATATTTAAGAAATAAGTGTACAATATATTAATGTAGATGTGTTAATGTTATTAATGTATGTAATACTATTTTATAGTTCCGTAACTTTAAATAGTAAAGGCCTATTTTATTTGAATTTTGGGAAATTGGATACTTGTTAATTTTAAGTTCAAATTCCGACGTTAAATTCTGAAGAGCAAATTTTTCGGTGAATCATAACTTTACTTTTCAGAATGTCCTGCTAACGGCCGAGCGGTAAAGTCATTTGAACACTGGTAGTTCAGTCTCGGTTCGAATCTCTGCAAACGGGCTGGCTGCATCGACGTTTTCACGATTTTCCACCGCGTAACTTATATCCGAGGCAAAATACCCCTTAGAAAGTCCTTCACGAAGCTACCTTTTCTCTTAGGCATACAGCCTTAGAGTTCTTTGCCATAAATAAAACATTTTTCATAATGAGGGGCTGAAGCGGGTAAAGTCGCTTAACGCCGGTAGTTTGACCTTGGTTCGATTCCAAATGAACGGTCTGGCTGCAGGGATGTTTTCATGTGGTTTGTCCTACGTGTAATTTAAATGCAATTTCCATTAGCAAGTCCTCCACGAAGGCATCGCTTTCCTTCCAGAGTTTAGAAGTAAACCTTAATTTTTTATCATTATCGAAAGCAAAATAGTAACCTTAAAGTATTTTGCCTTTCAATTAGTATGAGCTACTTGTGCGGATTTGTCCTAGTTATTTGTAACTCGAAGTTCTTTCGTGGCAAAAAACGGATTACTGATGCCAGAGCGGCCGAAGTCGTGAAAGAGCAATTCACGCACAATTTTAATCTGTAAATAAACGAGCTGGCTGCATGAGGCTTTTGGATATGTAATAAGTTTTTAATTCTTCAACAAAAATGCATAGAAAGTAGCCTTAACAATATCCTTCTACCCGACTTCGTAAATTAAAAATTTGACTGAGTATTTGACTTCTGACTTGACTGCCAGAAGCATGACAATTGTTGCATTGCAAAAAGACTCATCTTGGGTTCGATTACTGATATGTGATCGATTTGTAAATTACCCTCGCCACTTTTATGGTCTTTGATTTAAATGAGTTAAAAAGTGGATTAATTTCACTAGGATAACTCACTGCTGTAGCTAATTAAACCATGACAATTTTTCAGCTTTATAAATTCATGTATTAATTGTAAAGCTATTAAATATATAGGTCATGAGTTGATAACAATCGTGTAATTTGGATTATTCATTGCCCAAAGTAAGGTAAGGATTTTCATAATCGCCTATTTTAAATTTATCTAGCCAAATAGTTTTGTATTCCTGTACTCTTCATTTAATTCTAAAAATAAGTTGAGGCATATTCTGGGAATTCTTTTTAATTTGCTGAAATTCAACCTCAATTGGCTCTTATGTTTTTAATATTTACGACGGGAGCAGACATTGATTGAAATGAAAAAGTAGCCTGATATATGTATGTTTCGCGACTTTTAAACTTTATATTCAGAACACAGCAAAATGAAATTTGGTATTCAGTTATTCAACTAGTTTTAATAACTCAGCTTGATACAAATCTTTCGCCTCCGGTCTTTCATCACCAACCTTTCGCGAAGTTTAACATTTCTAAGGTTATTAATAGGCCCACCAGCTGCCGAGCGGTAAAGTCGCTGAACACTAGTAGTTCGGTACGAGGTTCGAATCCCGCGAACGGGCTGGCTGCATTGGTGTTTTAGTGGTTTTACCCATGTCTAACGTGTACACGAGCCAGTTTGCCTTAGAAAGTCCTCTACGGAGGCATCCCTCCCCTTAGGCAAATAGCCCTCGTGTGCTTTGCCATAATTAAATACAACTAAGGTTATTAATAAGTACGAAATGTATTCCTAAAATTTTTACATAAATAGCAAGTTTGCAAAAAGCTTAAATTAAACCATAGTTAAATCTCATCTGAATTTACATATTACCTGAACAAGTAATTTCAGATTTCCTTCTCGAAATCTAAGTAAAATTCAACTAATGGTCAGAGGAAATGATTTGATCATATCCTGTAAATTCTGGTAGTCGGAAATTGCTTGATATTTGCTCTCAAATTTCTTCCCGACAGAGCTCGAGATTTTGTTATCACTCACATATCGTTGAATCTTTCAGCAAGTAGAAGCTTCAAAAAAGTTACGATCAAGAACCTCGCTGATTCCAGTATTAGCTGATCTAACAAATCTAAAATATCTATTAACATTATTAGTTCTAGTTCTTTTTAACAGTACTGCGTTTATACCAAATCATTTGAAAATGAATAATCCTTCTTTGCTTCAGATACTATGTTAACTACTGGGATTCAATTCTGCAAAACTGCCGACGTTTAACAGCTGAGAATTTGTAGATATTAGCTCATAATCAATGGTGGATGAAATATTTCTGTATTTCAATTAGCCTTCTTTATTCGAATTATAATGAAATTTATGAACTTAAGTTGATTTACCGAATTCTTGCGCTTAATTAAACATCTACATAACAAATGGGTAACATTTAATGTTTGCTGGACCGGCACCGTTTTAAGTTTTAAACAGAAGTAAAATCTTTCGCTCTTTTTTAAAGTAGATTAATGCTATATCTCAAATTTTGAATTTGAGATCAAATTTTCTGCTCTTTATATTTTAACGTACCTATTTTCATACTAATGAAAAACTGAATATGAACAAATTCAATACTTTCAGCTCGCGTTGCTCATATTTGCATGTTTCATAAAATGTTGCTTACTCAAAGCGGTTTCGGTGAGCTTTCTGCAGAATCTTGGTCGACTGAACTCTTTTCGTATTTTTAAAGTGGGGCGTGTCCGCGAAGATCCTGTTCTTTATCGCGGGTGCATGACCGTTTCTCTTAACGCTTGACCCGTATCTTTTGTACATAGGCGACAGAAAGTGGCCGGAGAGATCCTGGTGAACGGAGAGGACCGCGACATGAGAATATTCAGGAAGCTTTCTTGCTACATCATGCAAGACGATCATCTGTTGCCACATCTGACAGTCAGGGAGTCAATATATTTAGCTGCTTGTCTCAAAATTCCTTCTACAGTCTCCAAAGCTGATAGAAAGAAGGCGGTGAGTGGTTACTTCCATAAGTAGATAATTTAAATAACTTCTTACCATATTGTTTGAAACATCTAAAGCAAATTCATAAATTTAAGGTCTTCAAAGCGAATCCACATTACATTTTTGTAGAGTTAAAAATTAATCGCGAAAGAATTTATCAATATTTAATTGCAGAAATCTCGTGCTTGCAAAATTACAATCAATTTGGCTTTAAAGCGAGTTTAGATTAAAGGTTAACAGCAATAGATCATGCCGAGTAGTCTGGTACCGTTTAGCAGACTAAGTACTCTAATCCCTGAGAACTGTTAAAGAACACTTAAAGCAAATTTCTTAATATTCAAAATCATTAAAGACCGTCAGTTTACCTCTTTTTAAATCCAAGCCGTTAATCAAATTCTGCACAAATCGAATGTGTTCGGAATGCGTTGGCTCTATGCGAGGAACAATTAGCAACTTTTTGACTGTTCTCAAAGCCGCTTTTCCAAGCAGTATGATCTATAGCGTTTAATTTAAACAAGTTTGCGTTTTTAACTTTTGATACTTCAAGAAAATATTCTTGCAATACTTGGGAGAACTCGAAGCAAAATATGCTGAAACAGTAATTACTAGTTTTTAAACTATGGAGAGGAAGTATGTAAGAACAAGAACCCCACGCAAGCTTATTATAGAGCACATGAAAATACTTTGGAGAATAAGCTGTTTCAGTACTATATGATCTCAATTGCCTGTATACAGAATCCTTAAACATACTATATTTTGAAAATGAGGAGTAAATTTAGATCCACTTCACGTGTTCTTTGAGATACATTTATATATCTTCTCACTGTTGGTAGATATGCTAGAAAACTAGACATTTTCGGAATAATTCTATCCGACAAATCTTGCAATCGAGATAATTTGCACTGAAGACAATCTGAAATCGTGGCGGTGTAATTGAAATTTCTTTCATGCCACTCTCGGTTTGGGAAATTCGCAGAGCATCACTGGTGTTGAAGAAAACATACGCTTAAAAACTTTTTCAGTTTAAGAGTTATTTCTTTTGTCTGGTCGATGTCTGAAATACCATTCATGCCAGCTTGGTGCGTTTTGAGACTTGAATAAATTTTTAATTTTCAACTAACAAAAACAGCTACAAAGCTGTAAACTTATCCTAAAGCACACTCCTATTACGTCATAATGAAAGGTGCAATGTCTGCATTTTCTGCAGCTTGAGATACTTGACATGATCTGAAATGCAACCAAATTCCATATTTCAGTCAAATAGAATAAAATATCTAGTTTTTGAGTTCTGTCTATGTACGTGTTCGATGTATTTTATAACTCTGCCAGTGAACGAGTGGCAAAGGCTGAGGAATATGGTTCCTTTCGAATTCGATTCTTTGCGACTGACTGGGCTAGCTGAATGAGGTATGCGCGGTTTTCCACAATGTCGTAAATGAGCTGCATTTTAACTTATTTCAGTAAGTCCTTTGCTCATATTAAATCAACGCTTCAATTTGACATGCTGTCTCGCTTTTGACGTATCGCATAACTGTAGTGAACTTCTTGAAAGAAATGATATTTTCATTTTGTTAAACTCTTAAACATTAATTTCAGTCGAAATTTAGAATTTCGCCTAAAATTCATTTATTTTAAAATCTATTTAGTGAAATTTAGAATTTCTAATCTAAGCTAATATTTAAAGTACTTCAAAGTATAATATTCCAAGAGATGTAAATCGAATCTTTTAGACTTCGTTCTTTCTAATTATCTTACGAGTTTTCCATAGCGTTTAAATGCCTCTAGATATGTTTAAGAAAATGAAATTTTTTAAGTTACATTAGTGGTTGAAGGTCGATGGTAAATTTGTCAGTTCGGCGATACGCTGATTCTCCAATTCGAAGTGGGCTCCTCCCCCACTGTTTTCGTAAACTAGATTTTGAGCGTAACTATAAAATATGTACTATGCCAAAGATTGCATAGGCTCCTTTTAGTAAATTAGATTTCGTTGGAGTCTTGCATGTTTGACTCAACAGGAAAGTAACAGTAAATTAAGCAGTCTTTCAGCAGAATTTAAAGTTGATGATCCATTTTCGCCTCCTACAACACTCTTCTCTAAATTTCTACCGAATAGATTTTTAATTCAAATGAGCGAAATATACATCGGGCATTAGACCATTACTCTGACATTTAAATATTATTGAAACATTTTTGTATAGAATAACATCTCATAACAGGTAGATGAATGCATGCAGTCTCTCGGATTGATGGAACGGCAGCACAACAAGGCCTCTCAACTTTCTGGTGGTCAAAGAAAGAGGCTATGCATCGCTCAAGAACTAGTCAGTAATCCACCCTTGATCTTCCTTGACGAACCTACCAGGTAAATAACACGTAAAATGAACTAGTGTTTTTATTTGCTGCATCGGTTATCGAATATTAAATAGATCGGTTTAAATAAAATTAATTCTATCCTTTTTAAGCTCAAACTTTAAATGTAAAGCGAAAAACTAGCGCATAGCTTATCACAAATTGTTTTCTGCAAAAATTCTTTAAATTACTGCAATTTCGATGAAAATTTTGAATGTGCCCATCCAAAGTAAGTATATTGTTACGAAATGTACAGTCGCGTTAAGATGCCTTCTCCGCAAAACAATTTTAGGGTTGCCATAAAATAGCAAGGGAAGGCAGGGTTGCCACATTTGGTGACAAAATTGGCGATATACCATGGACGGATGGAAAACCTTCTGGAACGAATTCTTACCGGTTTAGCCCAGAATGTTCTCGAACACAAGCCGAAAGCTATATACACCCTGCTGGTTCGCAGTCAGTGTCTCTCGTCTAGCGAGTCAATCCCTGTGGAGTTTATCGAGTTGACAGCCGAGCAACTAGTGCCGACTGGGTCATATAGTGCACCGAAGGAGTCTGTTAGTGTATCCCGGTTAGTGCATCGTTGAGAGAGCGTGTTCAGATCCGGGAACGACTGAACCAAAGAGTCGGGAGCTGTGCTCTTGTGTCGTCGAGTACATCGCGAGTTGTAGAGTCTATAGAGTACGTGGAGTTCGAGAACGACCAAGCAGAGTCGGAAGCTGTACTCCGGAAAGCAGAGTCGGACGCTTTGCAAGAAGCTGTCTCCACCGTTATTGTCTGACAGTGTGAAGGCTGTGTCGCTGATTGTTCCAGCGTCTTTATAGTAGATTTTTGACGACTGTAAAAAGTGTTAATTGGAGCTGTCCTGATTGATTATTGGCTAAATGAAGTGTGTTTCGATACTTCATCAAGTGTCGTCGTTATTCGCTCCAAATCTACGAAACTCGTACGAACGTGAAGGAAGAAAATAACGTAACTGGTATCAGAAGAAAAAAACGCAACGATATCTTGAGATTCATGGCCAAAACTTGTGTAATGATACTATTGGGAAGCGTTCTCGTTGAAGCAGTTGGTTGCATCCTCCCATTATAACCTTCAATACAAGCTACTTTCCTCCCCCAAGTCTTGAAAGAAATTTTCTCTAAAGCCCTATATATCTATAATCAGACCTTGGTACCCCTGTAGCATGTCGTAATAAAGCACTCGAAGCTCCAAATCTGAGAAGTAAACAGTATCTTAAACTATACATAAATTGATTGAATAGCTTTTGAGAATAAACTTGATAATCGAAATCGGTTTACATCGGTTTTCATTTAACTTCATTTTATAATCTTGAATATTAAAATGTTATGTTGCAATTTCGATATGTTGCAATGTCAAACGACGTATTCCTAAAATAAGAAAAAAATCGGCGAAAGCTGGTAGTTTGATCCGGGGTTCAAATCCTGGCGAAGAGCCTGTCTGCATGGATGTTTTCGTGGTTCTCCCCATGCAGACGTTTATATGAACCAGTTTCTCTTAGAAAATCCTTTACTAAGGTATACCTGCTCTTAGCAGATAGCCCTTGAATGTTTTGCAATAATTAAACCAAAGGAACCATCCGAAAAGAATTGCGCAACTGAAAGACAATTTAGAATTTTTTAATAAGCCGCTGCTACTTTTGTTAAATTTCAATAAGTTAACATTCACGCGTTAAGTATTTTACAGAAATTTAAATATTTACCATTAAATTTTATGGAACTTTAAGGCGCCAAGGAGACTTGCACTGAACATTGATTGATCGACGCAGGCAAATGATACGTTTGCATATGCCTGTTTAAGAAATGTCTACTCAAGATCTTAACCTAGGCATCGCCATAGTTTTTGCTTATTTTGCCATTACTGGATTTTTGTCACTGATCTCTCATTCTCTATATATGTTTATGCTTGCACAATAAGAAGAAACTAAACACGTATCGGAACGTTTTTATATGAAAATGGATAATTAATCTTTCTTCAGATTACTTTTATTTGGTGTAGGGATAAAACTTTTTTCCAACTTATGTTAAATTAAAACGTTATTTATTCTAATTAACGTTCCAAACATATAACGCATGGATCTGCATAAGTTCACCGTTTCATTTTAGCGGTCTAGACAGTTCTTCTTGCTTACAGTGCATCCAGCTTCTCAAATCCTTGGCAGATGAAGGAAGAACAGTCATCTGCACCATCCATCAACCAAGTGCTAGAGTCTTCGAAATCTTTGACAAAGTATCTTACCTTGATTTAAGTATTTTTAAATTATTAGGCTTTTAATATTGGATTATAATAAAATTTCTACTGTTCGGTCTTTATAGTTGTACATGCTAGCAGAAGGTCAATGTATATATCGAGGATCAACTAAAGACTTGATTCCATTTTTGGCTAAACAAGGTCTCGCATGTCCGCAATATCACAATCCTACTGATTTCGGTAAGTTGAATTCTGTTAAATGACACATATATGTCTATTTCGAAAATAAAATTTTCATGACTTGTAGAATCTACTCTAAAGAATGGAGTCCATCAGTGACAGATGTAAAAGTCGCTGAACACTAGTAGTTCAGTCGGGCTTCAAATCCTAGCGAACGGGCCCACTGCATGGACGTTTTAGTGGTTTCCTTATGTGTAACGTCGATACTACCAGTTTCCTTTAGAACGTCCTTCACGAATGCATCTCTCCCTTTAGGTAGATGGCTTTCTAATGCTTTGTCGTAATCAAATGAACACAACCTGGATAAGCTTGATTGAAAATACTTTAGAAATATGGCGTATAATTTCAGTAGCTAAAACTTTACAGGAATTTCAAAACATGCCATTTGAAAAAGTATTTCTAACCATTTGTCAAAATTCTACACAATCTTAACTTCTAAAGGTAATTTGAAGAATTGATGGCTTTTCGATATTGCAAAAGCGACGTCGAGAATTTTACTGTTTGCAAGCTAAATGCAGCTTCATACTAAATAAACTCTGTAAATGTAATGAATTATACTCTGTGGATAAAATCCATAATTTTAATTATGTTAATATAAAGCTGAGAACAACTCGAGACATGTCGTTTTAAATTGCAGGTTTTGTTTCAAAAATTGAGTTTAGGATTTTACTGTCTTGAGAAATTCAAAAATCATAATTAAGCATTTTTATTGGTCTTTATGAAGTTACTTAATAAAGTCTTAGTCCTTTTAACTTACATATACTCCTTTCCAAGTGCGCTTCAAAATATGCCTGAAAATAATTTTCATCCGTCTTGTAGGACGTTCAACAGTTCTTTGCTTGTTGCCTTACAATATTTCTAAATTTCCATCATGAATTAAGGTTTCAATGTCTTCTCACGTGTAACGGAAAACTTACCAGTATTCCTTAAATAGTCAATAAAGTCCATTTTTCTTTCGCTATTTTTCACATGTGCCTGCAACGCGAGTTTGTAAGAATCTCCTTTAGGCCACGAGAGCTGTTATACCACGCGTCAATTGTTTCAGATTGTAGGAGTTTAGAACGTCTAGACCGAAACATTTTGGCACATGCATTCAGTTTAAAGTTTCTTCGAGAACGAGGTATCTAAGAAAAGGTGGGAGATTTGAGTCATTTCTTTTCCAAATTTTTTCCCACAGTGAAAATTATTGAAATTTGTCTCAAAATCGTTGTCGATTCGAATAATAATAAATGCAGTAATACTAAAAGTTGTAGTAATCGTATTTTACAAGAACTGGTTGCTTAGAAAGAAACATTGATACCGAAGAAAGCACAATTCAGTTCAGTGAACAAAATGAAATTGGCTGTCTGCAACAATAATCTTAGTTTCTTTCAATAAATTTTTGAAATATTTTACCTAAGTATTCGTGAACTGTTACCCAAATGACGTGGCTTGTTCGAAAATTTCTCTGCAGCAGTCGCTGTTAAGGAATACTCGACGAAAAGGGATTCCTTAAAATATCTACAATAGGAAGAGGGAAAATAAGATTGTTTCTCTTCAGTGCATTTGGTGTAACAAAGTTAAAACTTCATTACATTAACATATGTTTCGTTCAGAGATCTCGTAATTTCATTTTTATACATGTGTAGCTTTTTAACACTGAAATTTCCTCCAATATTTAATAATTTAATCGAGGTAAAAAATGTAAGTACTTTAATATCCGGAAGTTAGGCGATAACAGCATTCCAAATTTGCTAAATTGAAAATAAAAATTTTATAACAAATTCTCAATTTTTGACTCTTGTTTTAAATTTTCATGATCTCTACCGTTGGCTTCCTAAATCTGCTGCATAGGTCTTTCAAAAAACAATAGTTCGTAATGCTTTTAACTAAACATCGACTATTGTCATGTAAATTGAAGAAATTTGTAACATCTTCACCTTAGCACTTTCTGCAGCCTATTTGATTTCTTGAACTCTATAGCCCTATACATAAAGCAATTAATCAAACGTTTCTAATTTATCTTAGCTACGGAAGTAGCAACTGGAGAACATGGAGACTATATCAAGAAACTTAAAAAGGCCGTGGACGCATTAGGTGACTTGGATGATTCTTTTATGATGGAAGAAACATCTCTGGAATCCAAAATAGAACCCGGTTTGCAAGCATCTACGCTTTGTCTCTTACAAGATAAAGTTGAAAGGAAGACGTCATTATTTAAAGTAAGTTTTTAGACCTATTTCATACAAAAAAATTGGGAGACTGTCTGAACTTAAGAAATCTTTTTTACGCTTTCAGATGGCTTCTCTCGAAAGCAGTTACGGCGGGTATTCAACAAGTAATTGGAATCAATTTACGGTTCTTACTTATAGGAGTCTTATTTGCACGATCAGAGAACCTGTAAGTGACCTAAAACATTTTTGATCAATAATTCATATTTAATTAGCATCTAATTTAAGATGCCGAAGATTTACTTATGTTAACCATACATCATGTGTGTTCACCTCGCATCGTTTAACCTGAAATTCGAAATTTCTTCGCGATTATAAAAGAGGATATATTATGTAAATTTTCATCGTATGTGGTTAAGTATTGGACAATTCAATAATAAATTGCTTGGAATTGTGATCAGTACTTTCGAAAAGGTTTTACAAGCCCTTAACTTCAATAATAAGGAAATATTTGAAATGGGGTAGTTTCTGAATTTTAATACTTGTACATGAGAGCTTAACTTAAAAACGAACCGAGAGACAAACCGCGTATCGGATTCAGATTGTTTTAAACACTGAATAAAAATCGAAGTGGTAAAACTCTAACTTCAGAAGTGGCTACAAATTTTAGTTTATATTATCAAACTAGATTTTAGTTTCTATTAAGTGGCACACTACTTCTAGTGTAAATCGTTTTCTCTTTACGGCACTGCACAACCCGATAAAATCTTCTATTTGGAAGATGCTGTTTCTGATAATAAATTAAAACATTGCTGTAGTAAACTAAATTTAAATTTAGAAAAGGTATAAAACGATCATTTAAACATGGCGGTCTAATCCATTGAGGTTAGAACAGAGTAAGCATGACGTCACAAAATGTAAGCCGAGGAAATGTGAGTAACTTGACATCAAGATTTATCACGGCCGCCATACAGCGTACGGTTAAAACTACGGAACATTGTTGAATAAAAGTGTACTGAATTTCAAAGTGAATATCAACGTCCGCAGGCTTGGGTAAAGTGCCTTTAGGCATAATTTGCATAAAATAACATAGAAACTTCCATCTTTTACCCTCTATACCAGCAGTTCTTTTGACTAACGCGTACAATCTAAACAAACTGAAAACCTTTAGTACCACCACTACAAAGTTCTACCAACATCACTCTTGAACAAAGCTCAGATCGCATAAGTTTACGAGTGTTGGGGGGGGGGAAACCTCAAGCAGGATGTTGGAGTTTTAATTTTTGAATTTAATAGTTAAAGATACTTTGCTTATTTGCGTAGCACCTATTTTCTCTTGCGTACCACCGGTTGAGAACATACGTTTGTAAGTTACAATTTACATTTTCATGTACCTAGATTTTAAATTTGAAAGAGCTATTTGCAGTCCTGACTTCTCTATGCTAAGTAGAAAATCTTTATATTAAGTATAAAAATTAGAACGGGAAGCATGCATACATTCAATGAATAGCTAACATATAAAAAAACCAACCAGAAGTTTGCTTATGGCAACAGCCGTGATAAGGCGTGACGTCATAACATGGCGTTTCATGGCTTCATTTTCATTGCACGGGACATGCGGAGAAGGCTTGTTCCGTCTGTTCTAACCTCCGTAGTCTAATCCCTCTACCAAACAAACGCGACCTGCGAAGTTGCTATTCCGTCATGCTTAAGATCATCCGTGCTGCGTGGAAAACTGCTAGGTCCAAAAGTTGCCAGTTTTTATGCCCTTTGTGCTACTGTTATATGGCACAAAAGTTTTAAAATTAATTTTCTCATTTTTTGTCTGCAATTATAATTAAGATGTTTTAACTCGTTGCTTAATTCAAAATACCCTTTCTTTGCCTGATTCTTTTAACTATTTGAACTTTTAACGTGTGAATTAAGATCTTCACATATTGAAGCAGTTCGAAGATATTACAGATTAGATTACTAGCTACTTCAATTGTCATTGAATGTTCTATAATCGCAGATTCTTAACTGCATGTTTTCGGTTTCGTGAATAAAATCTTATCCATTAGAACTGCAAGTTCCAAGACTTTGGTGCTGCCTTCAAAGAAATCCAGAAAATTGTCATTATGTAAAGGATTAAAAATACGACAACTATTTTCCAACATTGTTAACAAACGTGCTTAAACATATTTATAAGGATTAAATGTTAAAATATCCGCGCGAATACATTTTAAAAATCCAAAACTCCAATTCTAATTTTAACGTAGGGTCTGCTGGTATAACAGGCGGTTGTTTTAACAGATCTTAAACTTTTGTTTGGCGCAACATAACTCCCATGGGTTTTGTGCGAAAAAACTCCAACCAACCAATCAACAGATCTTAAAACCAGACACTCATTTCAGTGCCATTATGAAATGAGAATTAAAAACTTCTTTGCTACATCGCTTTTTCTACCTCTGACAGCATGCAATCAATGGCTTACAACTGAACTCTACACACAGTGATGTAATCTATTACTAACTTCTACTTCAAATTGTTAACTTGTCTGGATCTTGTTATTGATTCTTTGAAATCTGTGTATTTCAGATGGCTACGCAGTTACGGTTGTTCGCCCATGTGATAGTGGGTTTGCTTCTCGGCATGTTGTATTTCGGAATTGGCAACGATGCAAGCAAGATTTTTAATAATTCAGGTTTCCTCTTCTTCTCACTCTTGTTTTTGATTTTCACTGCCATGATGCCTACTGTTTTGACATGTAAGTATTTTGTAGCACTTTTAATCGGCATTACCTAATTAAAATAACTTGTATTTTAATGCAGTTTTAAACAAATTATATAACTTTTCACGCTAATTATATGGATTGCAAATTATATGTAACTGATTTACATTATGAAAACTTAATATAGAAACTATTTCGGAATATATGTCAAATTTGTATGAAAATTTGGAAGTGCATTGCTTTCCTTGCCGAGCAAACTTCTCATTACTATTATTGGATAATTTACCACAAATAAAGTTTAGGTTTAAAGGACTGCTTGAATCGAAATTTCAGTTTAAAATATAACTTACCAACTCGATTTCCCGAAGCAGTCTTTTCACCTCCTACAACCAGCTTCCGATTTGTGTAGTATCGGAAACGACATTTACAGCTAAGTCGAAGAGGCTTAATTTGGAATACTAATCTTACTTCCCCAATAAAATAGGGCCCTAGTGGTAAAGTTGCTGAAATCTAGTAGTTCCAGTCCGCGTTCGATTTCAGGTAAACGGGCTGGCTGCAACGGTGTTTTCATAGTTTCTCTATGTGCAACATGTATGCGAGCAAGTTTTTAGTAGAAATCATTCACGAAAAAATCCCATCCTTTAGGCTAATAGCCCTAGCGTCCTGTGCCTTAATTTAATACAGATTCGAACTCTTCACAGAATATCATTGAAAGATGCGTAGATCTGAACCTGATGTTGAAGTGCCTTGCACAGCTCACAACTGACAGTATTTTATTTAGCTCTGTCCCAGTTCTGAACAATCGCATGGGTTTTGACCTTTCCCTGTTACCAAATCTCTGAAGGGCTTCTGGCTTTACCTGTATTTTAACAGCTACCATCCCTTAAACATCCACCAGCGTCCGAATGTAAAGCTGCTGAGCATGGGTAGTTCGACGTGGGTTCAATTGTAGGCCAATAGACTGGCACCCGTCATGGATAGCCCTCGTGAGCTTTGCCATAATTAAACTAACCAAACAATCCCTTCTAGATGGATGGAAATTGGAGTCAGCATTTCTCTAACCACTATAACAATAAAAAATTTCCAAAAATAGATAAAACTAGAATTATAGAAAATGTGACGTTGCTGAAATTGCCTGTGCATTCTATTTTATGATCGAAGAATTCATTTTAATAGACTTGAGCAAGTGTTTACTGCATTAATACAACTAAAGAGCATATCATGGATAAGTCTTAAATCCTGTCTGTGGTATCCTGCATATTTTTCTATTTGTATTTGCCGAAAAATTTCGTTTTAAGCACATTTATAAGGTACTTCCGTCGTTAAGTGAGATTTATACAGGGATGGCTGATTTCCCTGTGTTAACGGATTCGTAACTAAAGTACTGTTGAATGATGCCTGCTTACGAATGTAATCTCGTATATTTCTAATTCCATAATTTAGAACTTTATTTTCAGTTCCAATGGAGAAAACAATTTTCGCTCGAGAACACCTAAATAGTTGGTACAACACAAAGATGTACTACCTGGCCAAGACTGTAGCAGAAATTCCATTTCAAGTAAGATTTAATATTGCTTGTTCATTTAAACCAAATTTTATTTAAACCAAATTTTATGTATCGATTCTTAATATGGCAATTTTCGCAGATACTTTTTCCGGTCATTTATGGTAGCATCGTATACTGGATGACTGCGCAGCCAAATGATCTTATAAGATTTGGATTATTTTTGTTGTCATCTATCATGATCTCGCTCGTGGCTCAGTCGGTGGGGCTCATTATCGGAGCTGCAACTAGTGTTCAAGTAAGTACCTCTAAATCTGCGAATAACTAATATTTTAAGTACTTCAAAGTGCGTAAATTACTTGCAGTATGTTCATCGGCCTTTAGCCTTGTGTTCTGTAAAGTCTGAAATTACAGGTAATTTTGACTTTTACAAAAATGGACAAATGTGAATGTGAACACATACCTTATAAACTTCAATTTTAAAACTTTGACCGCATTAAAATAACTATCACGAAATCAAATTTGTAAACACAAATGATGTCCACGCCCTACACATGAATTCACAATGACAGTTACACCGTTAGTAGTGTCACCACACTGAAACTTTCAAACCTATATACGTAAACGGTGTATATCCAATTGCTTACTCTTCAGTAAGCTAGTTTTTTACTTGATTTGCATGACTAAGTGTTGCCAAGTGGCAACTACATGCATTTAAGGGTTAACGTATTTACTGTTTCGCATATTTCACAATATAAAAGAGCAGCAACTGAATTACTGCAATCAAGAATTTTATATTTGAACATGAATATTAAGCTATATATAGGTAACCCTTTGATTGAAGCGCCATGCGGCCGTAGAATCTCGTCAGATAAACAAGATTTCATTTTTTTCGTTGCTAAGCAACGAAACGAAAGAGCTATGAGGTTTGTGCGAGTGTTTGGACGCATACGATAGACATAATTTCCAAACATACACATGAGACAATAGCAAAGTGTCAAAGCCTTCGCCGATAGCCCATTGGCTATACTGCCGGACGCGCATAAACCACATCTGTGTTATTTACTAGAGGCATATATGCGTTCATATCAAAGACATATAATCTTACAAATTTATCTTCTGCATTTGTCTTACTGCAGTACCAAAAGAATAAGTATGGGGGTTAAGTTTTATTTACGGGATAGGCATGTTTTAACTAATACATAAAACAACGAAGCTTATAGCACCAGATCTGACTCCTTTAAAAAAGAAGCAAGTATCCATTCGAAGTGTTCAAATTAAATACTGCACTTGTTTGTTCATGGAATAATTGAAAAGCAACTTTATGGATACACAAGAGCATCGCGTCTTAGCAAGACTGTTCTAGAAACCATTGATGTAATTACATCTCCTTATAGGCCTACCTAGTTTACTTCGAAAGACTGCTGAACAGGAATAATTTGTTACGTATTCGAAGAATCCGATCGATCAGTCAACTGTCTGAAGGTCTTTTCATGCAATTAACTGTTTTCTACCGTGAATACTAGTAAATTTCCTTGAAATGTTCTAAGAAAGTATCTCTTCCCTTAGACGGATAATACTCGAATACTTTAGGATGTTCGATGAACTCTCTACATTAAGATGCATAAAATCTAACTGTCCTTTCTTCGCTAGGCGGTTGCCTTAAAAAGTCAAAGAACCGCGATAGAAATTTAATCCTCAGATTAGCAGAATATGTGCAAAGTAATTCACTTCCTTACGGTTGAATTTAAATTTACATTATATTTTGATTTATTCAAAATGGCTTAATTTATTCTTTGCCTTTTACAAAACACTTTTTATCTTTTTTGCAGAATGCTGTATTTTTGGCTCCCGTTGTGTCCATTCCAATTTTGCTGTTCAGCGGTTTCTTCATTAGCCTGGACACCATTCCAAAATATTTACAATGGCTTTCATACATATCTTACATTCGATACAGCTACCAGAGCGTTCTTCTTGGAATCTACTCTATGGATAGACCAGAACTACACTGTGATAAACTTTTCTGTCCATTTCAAGAGCCTCAAGATTTTCTGAAAGAAATGGACATGGTTGGTGGAAATCTGTATGTGGATTATGCTGCTCTCTGGGGTTTTTTCGCAGTCTTTCGTTTTATAGCATATCACGTTCTGTGGTACAAGGTTGTATATAATCGATAAGAACTTGAATGTATAGATTTGATTTTATGAAAATTTTCTGTCTGAAAGACAGTTTTAAACTTTTAATTGCTTTTAATACTTGCTCTAGATATTTATTGAATAAAGTGTGGCAGCTATATGAAACTGACTTTATTTCAGATTATACAAATGCATGAGCCTCGAAACTATTAAAACTAACAATAAATCAGTAACTATTAATTCTTCTCGATGTATAAATACAGCTAACAAGTTTAGCTTTAAATGTTTTCCAGTGTGTTCTGAGTGTAATTTGAATTCACATATTTAGTCATGAATAAGACATCTTTTGCTAAGTGTATATTAAACATTTCATAGATTAGCGTTTTAATTCAGACAAACATTTTTCTTTTAAAATTACGCATTGCTTTCAATCTAGATCATACTACTTTTCTGGTAATTTTATCTACCGACAGTTGCTGACATGTCTAGGTAAATTTCATTCTTCTGTAGATTCTGAGACTTATTTTAGAACAGTTCATTCTAATGAATGGTTTATAATTGAAGAGCTAGTTTCAGGGACATCATAACTGTTTTTATTGGCCTAAACAAAGCCTATTCATCTATGATTTGCAAGAAAATAAATACTATTGCATTAGTTCTTTAAATATAAAGTTTCGAGTATTCATGTTAAATTTCTCTAATCATTAAAGGGTTTAATGATTGAAATATGAACTTTTACATTCCTTTCATAAGCTTTGTCACGACAAATGGAATTTAACAATTTTTGATCAACTAAAACTCTGAATCCCATGCATGTAAGGTTAACGGAGGTTTCATCAGTTACTGACTATATTTTATTCTTATTTTCCTTGTTGTGTTTCCACTTTCGTCTTTCAATTTGATGGATCAAATTTTTTGTTTTTGTAAGTTTATTAATTTGAATTTAAGAATTTATAATTATCCTCATAATGTCTCAAAGATTATACAAAAATGTTGTAATAAAAGACAACTTTTTGCAAATTTTTAAGAATTTCAAAGTGTGCCCTCACTTATGTTCTCTTCCTTCCGCGATTCCCCACCCATTCAGTGAAGAAATTCCAATTTACACAGTAAACATTTCTTGGAATCTTCACGTGTTTGTGATCATAAGCAGCCAGTTTTGAAGTAGAAAAAAGCTAAATTTAAATACTGTTACCAATTGAATAACGGGAAAAATAAAAGATGAAACTCAACCACTACGAGATTGATAAATATAAAACAAAGGTGAATAATTATATATCTTTAAATGGTTGATTCACTTACTCTCAATATTCAGTATCATGAAAAGCAAATTTAGAAATTTTCTCTGGTGCCTTTGTATTAAAATGAACATTTTTCAATAGAAATGAAGTTTTAATTCATTCGAAATTCTAAATCTGTTATCTTGTTAAAATCTGTGCCATTATTCTATAAATTCTAAATCTGTTATCTTGTTAAAATCTGTGCCATTATTCTATAGTGGCATTTCTGAAAAAACACTAGATTTCATAATATACACTCATTTCTTAAAATGCATTAATACACGACCTCATACACACCAGAGAAGATAGCCGCCCATATTGAATCAATCGCAAGTTCACAAAATAAATTCGTTTACGGTTAAACAATTTCAGTGGCGCTCTTTTATTAAGTGTATCGAGACATTTTACTCGATACACTAAAACAAGTATATCGAGTCATGGGATTTAAATTCCCAGTTTCATATGTAGATCTTTATCTTAATTTTCAAGTAAACAAATAAATGATATAGTCAAATAAACATGCAAGTATTAAATACTTGGTAATTTCTCTAAATTCTCATAAAATTTTAAAAGCTATCCAGTCTATCTACAACACATTTTTAACGAAAAACTAAAATTTTTGTGGATACTTCAGACATTTAAACCCATTAATTTAAAGTTAAGTACATTATTTTCTTCATGCAATAAAGCAACAGTAAAAGAGAACTTGCAATAGGATTTCTTTTAGAAAACGATAGCTATCGATTTTTCGGTTTCACCACGACTGCTGAGAATGTTCGCATTTTCTACTGCAGTGAATCTTCCTTTTTCAGACTCCAATAAGTTTCGAAGACTTTTATTAATCCATTTTCTCCTAGACCGAGCAGAACGCTAGATGAAATGGTTCTCCCTTACTGATATTAGAAACCGCGTAAAGGTGCCGGAGTTGCAGTAATTATGAAGCTGAAGGTAAATGGATAACAAAATGTGGGCCCACAAGTGGCTCAGTGGTAAAATCTCTGAACACTGGTAGTTCGGTCCAAGGTTCGAATCTCGCGAACGGGCTTGCTTCATGGGCGTTTTCGCGGTTTTCCCCATGTGTAAAGTGTGTCCAGCCAGTTTCCATTAGCCTTCCACGAACTCATATCTCCTCAGGTAGATAGCTCTCGAAGCTTTGTCGTAATCGCATAAACCAAATGAAGGAATGCACCAGGAGCATGGAGACGAAAATACCTCCAGGAGTCTTATCTTTTTTAATTGAGCTACACGTATAATCAAATGAACGAGATAATCTCACTCATAATTGGAAGTTTGGCCAAAAATCTAGCGAAGTTGACGCCATTGCTCGACGCAGGATCCAGCCTATTTTTCCAAACTCCTTCAGCCGAGAGCATGGCGATTTCAGGGCAACTGTTTAGAAGCCCCACTTCTCAATTTATTACAGATTTCAATTTATTACAGTTTGAGATTACAACCAAACCTGACCTTTGCCTTCGCAGGATCTACGATTAAAACTCGCATTCTCAAAATATTAAGACTAAGAAATTGATACGAGAACATTATGCTCTGACGAATATTAAGTAAAAAATAACAAACCAATCGCAATTTCGGTCGCAACGAACGAGTGTCATCGTCAATCTGTCACAACTTTGCATGGAAATTTGCCGACTCTTTTTGTAAGATAAGCCGGGGAAATTCCGATCAACAAGAAGGAAAACGTACACCAGTTATTTGGTTACTAATGGTTGCAAAATCCATCCACAGCCAGTAAAAAATTCGCCAGAGCAGTTATGTTGGAAAAATGAGTCAACAGAAACCTGAAAACTTATGTCTAGAATCAACAAAAGGAAGAACGAAGGAAGAACTGTATTTTCACACGCAGGACAACCTGACTATCGGCCAAAATCTTAATTCATATCCTCTTCCTCAGCGCAGATGTTGGCGTCGGGGAAACTATTGCCAGGACTTGCCAGGATTCGTAACTATGAGAATCCTAGCGAAATATTTCCGAAAGTTATTGCTATGCTAAACCAAACACTTTCATATAAATAAAAATACCTTAATATAAAATTTCCTTAACACAAATTTGTGACACTCGAGACCCAACTTAGCTACATCGGCTAGGAATAAATCTGTCATTGCAAACTATGAATCGGTCATGTATGTTATGTAACTGAAAGTTCTATGGGTAGCAAAAGTTGTAAATGCTGATCATTTTAAGTCTTGGAAAAATCATTTAACTGACCAATTTTGATTTTTGATTTCTGAATACTAACATCGGCAAAACAATTAAAACATTTTGTCAGTGCAGATAATTTTACTTAGCTTCAGTTATGTGGCCTTGAAAGTAAATTAGCATAAATAGCATATATATATGTAGAATAATAAGTCTAAGAGAATTGGATTATTCAACTAATCCAAAATGTTTTCTTTATGAAGTGCAATTGTTCTTACTTTCAAAGATTGCGCTCCGTCATCAATTTCTTGGGCATGTTTAAATCGCAAGAACAAGTGTCAAGAAGACTGAGTCTGGCTAAGAGAGTGGCAAAACAAATCCGAAGATTAGGAGCACTAAGGTCGAGAAGAAACCTTTTATATTAGATACCTGTAGAGGATCTGACAGAACGGATCATTGTCGTTTCAACAGACATCGCCAGTACACCGGATATTTCTGAACGTGTGCAGCAATCTTTTGTTCATCGGTGTCAGCTGCGCTATAACCTTCGCGGCCGCAGATTTGAACAATTCCTATAAAGTTATCTCGTCGTCTCCTTACTGACGTTGAACTGTGATGCATTGTAATCCTGCTTTAGGTCAAATAAATTCTTTTCTACTTATTATTGGTTCTTTTGTTCCATTCTGCCTTCTTAAGTTTTTCAATTCTCTCTAAACGTTGTTAGTGACTCCATGTTCTATGGAAATTTTTCATCCTGTTGATGCTTACTATTAACCCTCTAAATTTGTCGGTCGAATTCGGAAACATCCTGTTATCAAGCCTTTTAACTTAAAAATTGTAGCATGTTTCCCAAAAAAGGAAACTTGTAGCCGCTGATCTGTTAATCTGCACTTAAAGTCGCACATGTGTTGAAACGAACCTGGATTTATTTAAATGCAAAAGTATTTTCTGTCTAAATCAAACTTATCTTACCCCCTCAGGGGGCCTAGCCCTTCAGGGGATCATGTTCTTGATGAGACGGATGTCACGATCCTGGAGCCCCAGTGATCTATCCTCTTTTCCGTCTCCTCTCCTCTTGGCTGGAACTTTTCCATTCCCTTCTCCCTTGTGGTTTCTCTCTACGGAGTTTGGGGCTCGTCACGAGAGGCTGGAACAGACCTTGTTTCTTTTCGAGTGGCGTGAAAACTGCCCACGTGTTTGCCGTGCGTGGAGACCCGCGTCGCTGGAAAGGAGGGTCCTGGTAGTTGAGGGGCGAGGTACTGTCCCCAACACACTGCTTTGGCCTCTGCTTCAGCTAAACGGGAGGCACCTTAGTCGTCCTCACGGGTGTCAATCGGCTGGTCACTAGTCCTTGTGTCAGTGGCTTGGGGTCAAGCTCTCGGGAGTACCTGCTTTCGGGAAAGCCGACTGTGGGGCTTCAGTTTGCGTATAGGTCCGGCTAGCCCTAACACAGGAATCTGTGTTCCCTTGTTGGGCTCCGTGGTGGGCGGGGCCGTCGGATCCCGAATCTTATACTTTTTCAATATGGCTTCCTATTTATTTTAAAAAAACCTGAAACAAACGACACGAATAAAGACTATCTGAAATCATTGACAAATCTGTTCTGAGCTAAAAATTCGTACCGATGCAAATGCCAAAGAAACTACTGAATGTCCTCGTTTTGTGTTATCCTAGTGCCTTCTGGAAGAATTTAAAAAGATGTCTCCTTTCGTAATAAACAAATACATCCA